CCTTGTCAATAATCGATACGTGAAAAATGGACAGTTTCGAAGCAAAAACAACAAACAAATGCTGCGCCTACTGCTCAATAATGTGTGAAATGAAATATTTCAATGAATTCGACACTCAGAGTTTTTGGGCAATGGAATTGACATGGTTGGGCATCAACAGCCTCGACCAGGGCATCATGCAAATGTGTGCCGCAGGCGACCGAACACACACACAAAAACAAAGAAGAATACCCCCCGCCGCCAACACATCCATCTAACCAAGTAACCCACCAACCAACCAACCAACCAACTACATGCCCATAGAAAAGATGACCTACATTAGGGAGTTTATTTTAGGTAGCAACACCACCAACACCAGCAGCTGAATAAAATTTTATTCGGGGGGTTTCCATTGAAGCGAATAAGTATTTGCTTTTGATGGACAACTGACCAATGACCTGGAATTGGAGAATCTCACATCCGTCCACAGCAGTTTATCATCTACATTCATCTCCGAAAAATTACCAAGAGTGAAAAAGAGAGAGTGAGGGGGTCATAAATTTTTGAATGACCCTGACCAACGTTCGTTGAGATCATCCCTTTTGCAACTGCTGGATGGCAGAAGAAGAAGAAGAAGCCCAACCACCTAAGCAGGCCATAAAACAAATGTTTTTGCTTTGAAACCAAATAAACCATCTGTTTGGATGTGAGCGGGTTTATATGTTTGACAGGCGGTGGCAGTGGCCATCAGCAGCGGGCAGGGACACACGTGCACGGCCGAGCATGACCAGCTGGATGGATGGACGAATGGTGGAAAGAATTAAAACGACCGGATGAATGAGTTGTTAGAAACCCGAAATACGAAAGGGGTTTTCTTTTCGGACCACGACAAATGTCCATCCATTTAACGCTTTAACACATAAATGGAAAAACAAAATTATGGGGAATGGGGTGTTATTGAAATTACAACACGGCTTTATACTCACTTCCATAATCTCTTGTGGGTGTATTTAAATTTTTATTCCCTTTGTTGCATTTCGAAATGTTTCTCTGAGAAGAACGATAACAACAACTCCTACAGAAAATGTTGTCGATAACAAGAATTTCTATAGAAAATGTTGTCGATAACAACAATTTGCTATAGAAAATGTTGTCGATAACAATAATTTGCTATAGAAAATGTTTTCGATAACAACAAATTGCTTTAGAAAATGTTGTCGATAACAACAATTTTCTACAGAAAATGTTGTCGATAACAACAATTTAATTTCCAATGGAAGATGTTGTCGATAACAACAATTTTCTATCGAAAATGTTGTCGATAGCAACAATTTTCTATCGAAAATGTTGTCGATAGCAACAATTTTCTATCGAAAATGTTGTCGATAACAACAATTTTCTATAGAAAATGTTGTCGAAAACAACAATTTCCAATGAAAAATGTTGTCGATAACAACAATTTCCAATGGAAAATGCTGTCGATAACAACAATTTTCTATCGAAAATGTTGTCGATGACAACAATTTTCTATCGAAAATGTTGTCGATGACAACAATTTTCTATCGAAAATGTTGTCGATGACAACAATTTTCTATCGAAAATGTTGTCGATAACAATGTTGTCGATAAACACAATTTTCTATAGAAAATGTTGTCGATAACAACAATTTGCAATAGAAAATGTTGTCGATAACAACAAATTGCTTTAGAAAATGTTGTCGATAACAACAATTTTCTACAGAAAATGTTGTCGATAACAACAATTTAATTTCCAATGGAAGATGTTGTCGATAACAACAATTTTCTATCGAAAATGTTGTCGATAGCAACAATTTTCTATCGAAAATGTTGTCGATAGCAACAATTTTCTATCGAAAATGTTGTCGATAGCAACAATTTTCTATCGAAAATGTTGTCGATAACAACAATTTTCTATAGAAAATGTTTTCGATAACAACAATTTCCAATGGAAAATGTTGTCGATGACAACAATTTTCTATCGAAAATGTTGTCGATGACAACAATTTTCTATCGAAAATGTTGTCGATATCAAAAATTTTCTATCGAAAATGTTGTCGATGACAACAATTTTCTGTCGATAATGTTGTCGATGACAACAATTTTCTATAGAAAATGTTGTCGATGACAACAATTTTCTATAGAAAATGTTGTCGATGACAACAATTTTCTATAGAAAATGTTGTCGATAAGAACAATTTTCTATAAAAAATGTTGTCGATAAGAACAATTTTCGATAGCAAAAGTTGTCGATAACAACAATTTTCTATAGAAAAAGCTGTCGATAAAAACAATTTCTATGGAAAATGTCAATAGCAACGACAATATGATGACAGATACTTGAGCTTTAAACATTTTTTTTTAATCTGTTGAACACCTAAAAAAGAAATATATCTATATAAGACCTGTGCAAGCTCTTCGCTTGAAAATCTTTTTTAAATTTTCTCAAAAAAAAAAAAAAAAAAATCAAATTTTCTTTAAAACACATGGTGCACAACAATGTTTATACAACTGTTTTGTAAATAACTTTTTTCGGTTATTCGAAAAAAGTTTTGAACATTGACCCACATTCCAAATTCTGTTATCAGTAGTAGTTGGTAGAAAAAGGGTTATTCATTACGCATACTTTGCTGTCGCCGCTGATAAGGAAAACCCCGTGAAAGACATGAAATACACCTCTCAAAAAATTCCTCTAAAATAATTTTAGATAAAATAATTGTGACACAATTTTTGTTTCAAAGAGGTGTACTACTGTTGTTAGCCGCGGCAAGATAGAGACCAACTTTCTTCTAAGATAAGCAAAATGCTGAAATGCCACAAATTTCCATTGAAAACCAACCAAAACAAAAAACAGGTCAGCCTTACCTCAACACCCGGCCGGCCTACAGCATATTTTTCGAAAATTTTATCTTTCATTTAAAATCTAATTAAATGACATTTTTTCTCAATATTTTAAAATGGTTTTTGTTGGCATTTTATGATTGAGTAGCTGGCGGCCCAGAACTGGCGTCAGACGTCATATTTGTATGTGCAATGACATACATTTTTTTGTCGTTTGTTGGGATTTTCGTAAATCTCAGTAAATGTCTTAAGTTGTCAATTTGGTTACTTTGTTTTCTTGGGAAAAACTGTAATCTGATTTGAAAACCAAATTGAATTATTTATAATACAGTGGAGTGGGGTTAATTTTAAAAGGCCGAAATGTCGTAAATTCAAGTATTCAATTAAAAAAAAACATGAAAGGATGGTCGGTAACAACAATTTCCACAGAAAAAATGTTGTCGATAACAACAATTTCTATAGAAAATGTTGTCGATAAATAACAATTTCTATTGAAAATGTTGTCGATAACAACAATTTCTATAGAAAATGTTGTCGATAACAACAATTTCTATAGAAAATGTTGTCGATAACAACAATTTCTATAGAAAATGTTGTCGATAACAACAATTTCTATAGAAAATGTTGTCGATAACAACAATTTCTACAGAAAATGTTGTCGATAACAACAATTTCTATAGAAAATGTTGTCGATAACAACAATTTCTATAGAAAATGTTGTCGATAACAACAATTTCTATAGAAAATGTTGTCGATAACAACAATTTCTATAGAAAATGTTGTCGATAACAACAATTTCTATAGAAAATGTTGTCGATAACAACAATTTCTATAGAAAATGTTGTCGATAACAACAATTTCTATAGAAAATGTTGTCGATAACAACAATTTCTATAGAAAATGTTGTCGATAACAACAATTTCTATAGAAATTGTTGTCGACAACAAAATGTTGTCGATAAAAACAATTTTTATAGAAGATAACAAGAATTTCCGTCGCAAAAAAGTTGTCGATAACAACAATTTCTATAGAAAATGTTGTCGATAACAACAATTTCTATAGAAAATGTTGTCGATAACAACAATGTTGTCGATAACAACAATTTCTATAGAAAATGTTGTCGATAACAACAATTTCTATAGAAAATGTTGTCGATAACAACAATTTCTATAGAAAATGTTGTCGATAACAACAATTTCTATAGAAAATGTTGTCGATAACAACAATTTCTATAGAAAATGTTGTCGATAACAACAATTTCTATAGAAAATGTTGTCGATAACAACAATTTCTATAGAAAATGTTGTCGATAACAACAATTTCTATAGAAAATGTTGTCGATAACAACAATTTCTGTAGAAAATGTTGTCGATAACAACAATTTCTGTAGAAAATGTTGTCGATAACAACAATTTCTATAGAAAATGTTGTCGATAATAACAATTTCTATAGAAAATGTTGTCGATAACAACAATTTCTATAGAAAATGTTGTCGAAAACAATTTCTATAGAACAATGGACAACATTTTTTATAGAAATTGTTGTCGACAACAAAATGTTGTCGATAAAAACAATTTTTATAGAAGATAACAAGAATTTCCGTCGCAAAAAAAGTTGTCGATAACAACAATTTCTATAGAAAATGTTGTCGATAACAAGAATTTCTATAAAAATTGTTGTTGTTGATAAGAACAATTTCTATAGAATATGTTGTCGATAACAACAATTTCAATCGGAAATGTTGTCGATAACAACAATTTCTATCGGAAATGTTGTCGATAATAACAATTTCTAGCGGAAATGTTGTCGATAACAACAATTGCTATCGGAAATGTTGTCGATAAGAACAATTTCTATAGAAAATATTTTCGATAACAATGCCTCCTCAAAATTTTACCTACATCACCTATTTCTCTACACCGATTTCTGCCGAAAATGTTGCTATCGATATCAACGTTAAGCTTTTAATTCAAATACCATTCCACTGTCTCTTTACAACAATTTCACAACATTTTCATTCATTCGATTCAATAATGCCGCTTCTAGTTTCAATAATGCGCTTCTCTGTTCGCCATGTCGACCAAATTAACTTGTTTCTGATTTCAGTGGTCTTTCTTACAAAATATTCATTTGTTTTTTCTTCTCCCCCCGTTCTCTTTACAGATGAAGTAACTTTTGGAATTTATTAGCCTGCAATTTTTTGTGCTAACCTACCCTGGTCTTTTATTTCGGTGTCTGTCAAACAACCAAACCATCACTGCTGCTAACGACAACCTCAACGTGCAACCAAAACATTGGCGTTAAAGTCCTCTACGACTTAAGATATCTTTTTTATTTTTTTACCACGAACCAAAAAGAAAAAAAGTATTAAAATTATTTTTAGGATTTTACATTTACGACAAGTTTACAACAAATTTAGTTGCTTAGAGCGTTTTGCACAATCCAAAACGAAAGACAAAACAAAAACGCAGAACACGAAAAAGTCTTCTCTTGATGGTGGCCAAATTAAATTCGCGTTTAGCGACGACATTTAGCGACGCCACAGAATTAGACAACAACTGTCACAACAGCCATAGCTGCGACTGCATCAGCAGTAGCAGAACGAGGACGAGGACAAGGAAGTTGTCGATGATGGCATCGACAACAACACAAACAATGACGTCAGCGACATCGCCATATTCATCATCATCGCCATCCTCAGCAGCAGCCGCACCATCATCAAGGACAACGCGACGCTGGTGCAACATAACATCAACAACAACACATCCTTTAGTGCTATACAGTTTTGTGCTGCTATTGGTGCTGCATCCTGTAATTTCAAACGCTGAAAGAGATTTTAATTTTAATGATTCACAGGTGAGTACAGAACAACAATTAGAGTTGGGTATTTAAGCGTAGACACAAACGCATATACCTGCATTCGGGGTTTTAATTAAATTTTACAAAACACAGGATCAGTCCTTGCAAACTGCAATTTGGAATTTGACCTGGTTTGGTTTTTCTATAAACAAGTGTTGGATAGGTATGAATAAAAAATTGAAGGATGAAGGAGGTCATATTCACATAATGGATTGAGTCGATAACCATTTTCTTACAGAAAATTAAACCGATAGCAACTCTGTGAAAACAAAATGTTATCGATAAAACCAACTTCTATAAAAAAAACTTGGTTAATTTATAGAAACGGTGGTTACTGTTTCTCTTGAAAATATTGTTCATAAAACAGTTGTCGACAACAACAATTTCTTTAGAAAATGTTGTCGATAACAATAATTTCTATAGAAAATGTTGTCGATAACAACAATTTCTATAGAAAATGTTGTCGATAACAACAATTTCTATAGACAGTGTTATCGATAACAACAATTTCTATAGAAAGTGTTATCGATAACAACAATTCCTGTAGAAAGTGTTATCGATAACAACAATTACTATAGAAAGTGTTATCGATAACAACAATTTCTATAGAAAGTGTTATCGATAACAACTATTTCTATAGAAAGTGTTATCGATGACAACAATTTCTATGGAATGTGTTATCGATAACAACAATTTCTATAGAAAGTGTTGTCGATAACAACAATTTCTATAGAAAGTGTTTTCGATAACAACAATTTCTATAGAAAGTGTTTTCGATAACAACAATTTCTATAGAAAGTGTTGTCGATAACAACAATTTCTATAGAACATTTTGTCGATAACACCTTTATCTATAGAAAGTGTTGTCGATAACAACAATTTCTATAGAACATTTTGTCGATAACACCTTTATCTAAAGAAAATTTTGTCGATCGAAACTTTTTCAAAAAAAAATATTGTCGATCGCAACTTTTTCTATAGAAAATGTTGTCGATCGCAACTTTTTCTATAGAAAATGTTGTCGATCGCAACTTTTTCTATAGAAAATGTTGTCGATCGCAACTTTTTCTATAGAAAATGTTGTCGATCGCAACTTTTTCTATAGAAAATGTTGTCGATCGCAACTTTTTCTATAGAAAATGTTGTCGATCGCAACTTTTTCTATAGAAAATGTTGTCGATCGCAACTTTTTCTATAGAAAATGTTGTCGATCGCAACTTTTTCTATTGAAAATGTGGTTGATAACAACAAATTCTGTTTTTCTATGGTTTTCCTGTAAATGTTTTGCCAATACTATTAATGCCTATCGACAATATTTTCGATAATCGCATTATGGCAAAGTTGTCGATAGCAACAATTTGCTCAGAAAATATAATCGAGATTAACATTTATATAGAAAAACTAAAAAATCTATTAAAAAAAAAACAGATGGCCAAGAAGTATTGAGTTTTTTTTCATAGAATCTCAAAGTTTTTCCAACTCCGTCAATAATTCCTCTTCTCCACGGGCTGTCCATAAACTATAATCTTATTCACAGTATGTTTTCTCCTTAACTTCAGCAAAACTTCCTCTAGGCTCTATTTATCACCTATTTAATGTCGAATTACCCCACAGATCATGAACATGAATCTTCCTCTACGGCCGCCCTGTAGGCAGATGATTTTAACTTTAATAACACAAAGTCTTTAAAGTATTTGTTGCTCTTCTCTCTCCATGTTTGCTGTTACTTTTATAGCCATCCAGCCACATAAAAGCGAACTATTCTTTTCATTTATGTTTTGTTTTACTTATCGACATAGCAATTTTTTCTGCTACAAAAAAAAAAAAAAAAAAAAAAAAAAAAACATGGAAAACATGGAAAACACACAAAGGAAAATAAAAGAATCTCTTATCTTATAGTTTTCCAACAACCAGCCAGCCCAGCATGCTTTCATCATAATAGGACCGCAATGCCTCCTGTAATATGTTGAGGGAAAACAGTCGAGTTGGTTGGATTGTTGGTTAAATCAAAAGCCAAGTCAGCCAGCCAACAGCCACTCATCACTCGCTTGCAAAAGCAGCAGCATCATAAGAATCATAAAAAACACATTTTGTTACATTTTTTTCCTTTTAATGTGAAAAATGTATGCGGAACTTTTGTTCCTCTTCTATATCTTTGTTACATTCATGACTTTTCTTTCTATACTTGTCTGTATGTAGGTACGTATAGTTCTTATAATTATGATGATCAGTAGAGGATGAGTTGTTGGCGTTTCTTCTAAGTCCTCCTTGTATCGTCATCTCACATTATCATCTTCACAATAGTTGAGATGAAAGATAACACAATTTTCTTTTATGATTCTTTTTGATTAGTTTTGTGGTGATACGCCTCTGTTTAATTTTATACCTCGTGGATGGAGTACGAATCATGAAAGAAAATTATTTGATATCAATAAGATAGGTAACTTTTTCAAAATAGAATTTTCCATTGAAAATGTCGGTCAGAGGAATTTATAAACAATTTCTGTAGAAAATGTTGTCGGAAAGAATAACTTTCAATATAAGAAGTTTTAGCGTTTATCTATAGAAAATGTTGTGGATAACAACTTTTTCGTTGTTGCAAAATGGTCAGGCTTTATTCCTTTTTTGTTGCTTTTATAAAAACAACGTTTGTTTATTAGTCGATAACAACCTTTTCTATAGAAAATGTTGTCGATAACAACCTTTTCTAAAGAAAATATTGTCGATAACAACCTTTTCTATAGAAAATGTTGTCGACAACAACCTTTTCTATAAATAATGTTGTCGATAGCAACAATTTCTATAGAAAATGTCGATAACAAAATGTTGTCGATAACAACAATATCTATCAAAAATGTTGTCGATAACAACAAATTATATAGAAAATATTGTCGATAGCAACAATTTGTCGATAACAACCTTTTTTATATAAAATGTTGTCGATAACAACCTTTTATATAGAAAATGTTGTCGATAACAACAATTTCTATCGAAAATGTTGTCGATAACAACAATTTCTATCGAAAATGTTGTCGATAACAACAATTTCTATAGAAAATGTTGTCGGTAACAACAATTTCTATAGAAAATGTTGTCGATAACAACAATTTCTATAGAAAATGTTGTCGATAACAACAATTTCTATAGAAAATGTTGTCGATAACAACAATTTCTATAGAAAATGTTGTCGATAACAACAAATTCTATAGAAAATGTTGTCGATAACAACAATTTCTATAGAAAATGTTGTCGATAACAACAATTTCTATAGAAAATGTTGTCGATAACAACAATCTATAGAAAATGTTATCGAAAATGACCATATTCATTAACAACCTTTTATGTTGTCGATAACAATTTTTATCGAAAATGTGGTCGATAACGACATTTTCTATAGAAAATACTGTCGATAGCAACCTTTTCTATAGAAAATGCTGTCGATAGCAACCTTTTCTACAGAAAATGTTGTCGATAACAACAATTTCTATCGAAAATGTTGTCGACAACAACAAATTCTATAGAAAATGTTGTTGATATCAAACTTTTATATAGAAAATGTTGTCGATAACTACCTTTTCTTTGGAAAATGTTGTCGATAACTACCTTTTCTTTAGAAATTGTTGTCGATAACTACCTTTTCTATAGAAAATGTTGTCGATAACAGCCTTTTCTGTAGAAAATGTTGTCGATAGCAACATTTTCTATAGAAAATGTTGTCGATAGCAACATTTTCTATAGAAAATGTTGTCGATAGCAACGTTTTCTATAGAAACTGTTATCGATAAAATTTTTCCTAGAACATGTTGTCGATATTAAATGTTCTTGTAAAGAATGTCGATAATAACTTTTTTATGAGAAATATTGTCGATAAGACTTTCTTGTAGAAAATCGTATCGATTCGAACAATTTTTATAAAAAAATATTCGATGCCAATATTTCCTTTAGAAAATATTGTCTACTTTTTCTATGTGTATGTGTGTGATAACCACAATATATATAAAACATGTGGGCGATGACAACAATTTAAAAAAAAAAGTGTTCTCGATATTTGTTGTTAGAGAATCCTGTCAATAACAAATGTATACAGCTCTTTCAATATCAAATTTATGAGGACATATTCAACATATGTTTAAGAGGACCTTCGGAGGTGCTTCAATGTGTTGTAATACAGGTAACTGTTAATCGAGGTATAACTTTTTCACATGGTGGCTTTGGAAATCCAACACCATGAACAAAAGGAAACGTTTTGATTTTCTTTAATTAGAATGCATTTCTTTCAGCTAATCAATTAAACCGCCGCGCATTTTCTTTTTCCCTAACATTTGTAAGATATCTTCCCCCAAAAAATGTGTGGCATATCCATTTCTCGGTAATTATAGGGGTGCTCACGGTGAAATATGATATTTTATTCTGGAAAGAAGTTCTAACTAAAATTTCAATTATAAGGCGAAAAGTTGAGTAAAAGGCAGAGAGAAAAATTAATGAAAGACAGGTACAAGGCTGAGGGGTGGGAGGGGTCCAAAAATGGTTGAGGAAGAATGGGGATCTGACAGTTAACAAAGCCAGCCGATGAGGATGATGATGACGACGGTTTAGACGACAGCCTAACAAAGACAAGGCTTGTTTATAAAACAAAAGCAAGAACAACAACAACACGAACCCAACTCATCAAAGGAGGAGTGAAAGCAAAAACAAACAACATGCCATAAAGGCTATAAGGCCATAGAAAACGCACTATACGATGGCAAGCAGCCACAACAACAAAGCCCCAAACTACAACAATAGACCAAGTAACGTAACACAAACATAGTTTCTTAAAGACGGACCCGGACCTACTAAGAAAGACCGAAAAGATGCTAAAACAAATAAACGAAGAAGAGAAAACAACAACAACAACAATATCCACAACAAATCACCCTGCCAAAGAACAAAAGAGAAGAGGGCCAATTCTGCCAGAACTTTCAGAGTATCAATGATGCAGTCCATAGTCCAATCGC